CGTCCTAAAACCACCATATGATTATATGATTATGAGACACATCGTAGTGGAGGGCTCCGGAAATTTCAACCACCTGGGGTTCTTTAACGTGCACCCAAATATGAGCACACGGGCCTACAACATTTCCGCCTCCATCGGAAATGCAGCCGCCGCAGCCGGTCCCGAGAGGTTTTCGCGCACTGCGTCGAAAGCGGGCAGATACTCTCCGGGACAGCTGAGGATGAGCCACGCAATCTTTTCCATCCGTCTACACCCGTCGCTCGGGGCTCGTCGGACTTCACTGACGGTGCCTCGCACCCGAGGCGAACGCTCACCTTTTGTTGCCCCTCTGCGTACGCTCGGCCGAAGGGTGGTACGGTGTCCTAGTGCGTGGCCAGGCTACGCCGACCCGTCTCCCTTCGAAGCCAACGCGAGCGCCTTTGCCCTCGCTCGAGCAACCGGGCCTTGGTCCCGGTGTCTCCGTGAATTACCTTTACCGCGGAGACGTGCTTGTGGCACCCTGTGTAGTACTTTTATGCCCGTGGCGTGAATAAGCCTATTTGCTTTCTCGCCGCACCTTTGCAATGGGCTGTACTGCGTTTGGTGTTGCCACAGACAATAAAGTGCTGCGACCTTGAGCAGTATCGTGTGCTCGCCCCGGCGACTGTTAATGCGTGCCCAGCGGCTCGCTAAGACTGTACCCACGCTAGTGGCGGTACTCCTTTGGGATACGTGTCAGTACAACGCGATTCGCACCGAGTATACACTACAGCTGGGCATTGCACAGCTTTCCTAAAAAAACGCGTAAAATAAGCAGCACTCGTGAACTGACTCGCCACCGGCAGAGAACACCTACCACTCCATCGGAGCCGCTTCCAAGGCCGCTGCGGCGGCTGCTCGCCAGAAATCGCAAAGTGTTTATCTGTTTCTCTGCTAGGAGTCCGAGTGTTTGCGATGCAGCGGCTTCACGAATATGACATCATGGCCTCTCCTTAGTTTTTTCCTTCCTCCATGGTGGGAGCCGAGTCGGCGAGTCAGTTGTGTGTTAGACCTATTTGTGCGGCCAAGTGCAGTGGATCACGGTGTTATTTCAGCTCTATAAATAGGAAACGGCTGCACCATGCACTCTCACTTGAAAAAAAAGCTGAAAATTCTTCAGGAGCTCGATCATCGAAGCGGCATGCCCAAGACAGAAGTAGCGAAAAAATACATCCCGAGATTGACGCTGTCGCGGATCTGCAAAGGCATAGAAAAGATTGAAGGTGCTATAAAGAACGGGACCTTTACATCTAAATGGATGCGAACGACGCCTTATGAACAACTAGAAAAAGTTCTTTTTCTGTGGTTCAAGCGTCCACAGAGTTCCAATTTGCCCATAAGCGAACCAATTCCTGAGCAGAAAGCTTGAGAGATCGCTATGCAAACGGGTGTTGAGAACTTCGTCCTAAGCAACGGATGGCTCAGCCACTTCAAAACACGCCATGGCCTAGTGTTCAAAGCAATCTCAGGTGAGAGTGCTGTAGTGAACAGGGACATTTGCACCAACTGGCAAAAGGGGCGGCTTAAGGAAATTTTGATTAGCTTTGAGCCACAAAACGCCTTCAATGTCGACGAGATGGGTCTTTTTTATAAGACGCTTCCATCAAAGACTCTCACCTTCAAAGGCAAAGCCTGTAGTGGAGAAAAACGCAGTAAAGATTGCATCACTAAGCTGGTGGGTGCAAACAACGCAGGAGATAAGAAATTAAAGCTGTTGGTTATAGAAAGATCAAGGCAACCACGTTGTTTCAAAGGCATTGGATACCTTCCCCTTGCGTACCATGTGAACAGAAGAGCGTGGATGACTATGGCCATTTTCGAAAACTGGCTATGGGAGGAAGACGCAAGATTTACAAGGCAAGCAGGAACGTTCTCCTCATCGTGGATAATTGCCCAGCCAACAGTCAGGTTGAAAGACTCCAAGCCATCACTCTGGAGTTCTTGCAAGTCAATGCAACGGCAGTGATCCAGCCTATGGATCAAGGGGTTATTGAGAACATTAAAGTTCATTACCGCAGACAATTGCTCCATCGATTGCCACTTTGTGCAGACAGCGGGAAATGCTACAGCATAAATTTATTGGCAGCCATCCACATTTTAGCCCGTGCCTGAGAGCAAGTGAAGGCAACAACAATACACAGATGCTTTCATCATGCTGGCCTTTAAGGGGGCAGACTGCTCTTTGGGACCAAAAAGTGACAAAAATATTCATTTTTTAAAATTGACATATTTGGTTTCTGCAAGTATTTTTCTATCTCTCTGCAAATTTTCACGCACCAAGAAGTAGTAATTTTTTTGTAATGTCATTTTAACTGTCCAGATTCTTGGTGCTGTTAACATGCAGAACCTGCAAAAAAATGGGGAACCGAGTTTGAGGCTTCTTTATAATTTGCCAGCACCTTTGTCTAAAGCTCTACTACCAATTTATGAGCGCCTTCGTGAGGATTGCTAAACATGCGCACCATGATCGTTGCTTTTTGAAGAAACTGTGTGTTTTCAGTTTTTTCCATTTTTGTCAAAAAAGTAAATTTGTGACTATTCAATTTTGAGGCCTCAATATCTCTGCAGCTAGGGCAGGTACAACAATATTTCTATTTGCAGTGGAAACCTGTATGTGTGTAGAATGCAAGTATGGGAGCAAAATTTAGAGCACATGCCCTTTTAATTAATTACTAATCAAAATAGTAACACAATTCCAACTGCTTTTGAAAATGTATAGTTCATTTTGCTGCAAAATAACCAATAAAGGTCTAAAAACAAAAACCTCTTCCATACTTTCACTCTATAGTCATTAGTCTATGTTGGCATATCCTAAATATCACTTTTAATTAAGCACTTTTTTTTCTATGGTGGCCTTAAACAATAGGGAGTGAACTTAAGTTATCTCAGCAACAAAGTGAGTTACAGGAAAACTAATTACATATTTGAAATCGGCAGAAAAAACTGTATAACCCTGTGCAGTTTTATCAAGATCACTGAAGAAAGAAACAAAAAATGTCTAAGACCAGTCTGCCCCCTTAAGTGAAAGAAGCAGTACCTGATGAAGAAGAAAGCCCTGCTGATATCGACATTGAGGCAGTATTCAGTGAGGTCGTGCCCTCTGCCTCTTTCACGCTGCAAGACTACGAATCAATTGATGAAATGAAAATGTTCGTACCTGTTGTGAGGAGAATGTTGAGGAAATGATAGCCAAAGTGCAAGATGAGGATCAACCTTCCAGCGATGAATGTGGTGACAATATTGCCAGTGTAGAGGTGCCGCCAGACCAATCAGCTAAAAAGGCTGTTGAACTTTTGCAGTGCTATTTTGAGCATAAGGCTTGTCCAGAATTTCTGGCTAGTTTGTCGGGCATGGGTGTGTACCTTGTGAAAAAACAACTCAAGCTTGGCAAACAAACCACCTTTCACTCCTTTTTTTCCCCTACTCATCCTCATGAGTACAGTGAGGTTCGTGCAATTGGAATAAACGTTTTGATTCACTCAACAAGTGTACTTTGCTTAAATGAAACTTCTGATAAATGGAACAGTTTTATGGATCCTCTTCGAGTTCCGTTTAAGAGGAGTCGACTGTAGCTATCTTGTGAGGTGTGTCGAGTTTATCAATGCAGTGTTTCGCGCACCATGCGACAGCTTTCTGAGCAGAAGAACTTTCCGAAAATGTAATGTGTGGTGCAGGTTGAAAGGGTGCCCTGTTGGAAAGAGTGCGGAGTGAAAATGAAAAAGCAGCAGTGCGCTCATGCGTTGCTGCATAGACAACGGGGACATTGAGGTGCGTCAAGCACAAGGATGAGCAGTGCAACCTGAAAATACAAAACAAGAGAAATCCAATTATTCGCCAACTTGCTAGTCCAAAGGTATACAATCAGGAGTGAACAAGTGTGCTTGAGAGTAGAAGAAGCCTGGACTAAACAAGAGAAAGAGAGAGCTTGAAGAGAACGAGACTAACGGAAAGTGGTCACCGGACCGGGCGCTGGAGATAGGCTATTGGGTTGCAGACCCGAGCCATGCAGACTTCAATCGGCCGGGGTTCTCCTGCCGTCGCGTTCCCACGCGAGAGGACCGTAGCCATCCGATTCGTGAGCTCCAGGCCATGGCCTGCAGGGGCCACTTCGGTGCCCACAGCCAAGCAGCAGCTATGGGTCCGAGCTGTGCGTCGAGTTGGCTGGCCTTGCTTCCCCACACTTCACACGTCATCCAGCAACCATCGTTCCCTCTTTGGAGACAGCCTACCCATGTCCACTCGAACAGTCAAGCCTCCGTGTACTGGTGGGACTGAGCTCTCATCTTTCTCCACTCTGCCAATCACCCACATTCGAACTGCATAGTTTAGTTTGATTTCTCGAACTTGTGTTTTGGTTGTAATCATGAGTGTTTTACCGTGTACATTGGACCTTTTGTTGAGTGTGTATTTTATGTAGATACCTTCTCGCCTGTGTGTTGTTTTTGAGACAAACGTCTTTGTCCTTCATAAAACTCTCAGAGGCTCCGTCATAGAGAGCTCATCAAACGCATAAAAAACCTGCATCACAGCCATCCCTCCCTGCTTAGCTTATAGCTTAAGCTTACTTCGGGACGAGAGAAGAGACAGCTATTACGGCGTTTTGAGAAATCAACTCGTTCTGCTAGACAGAATTTAAAAATTTTTGTCGTGGTCAATTTGTGAGGCAATAACAAGTGAAGCCATTCTATGGCTATTCGGAAAGGTGTTGCAGGGCCCCTTTAATGAAAACGAGCAGGTAATGAAGCAAAGGATGGTGTAGGAGATGTAGTAATTACAATATGAATAAGAAGAAATTAAAATGGATGAAAGCACAACTTGGGGCTATCAGGGACTGAAACAGCTACCTTTGGATAATGCGTCCATTGCTCTAGGAGTTGAGCTACAGTGGTGGTAAGGAAAATAAGGATGCTGCACCACCCTCACTGTTTCAAAGCAGTGGTCACAGCAAACACCGCATGTTGCAGGAATACCACAATACGCACCTTGAGAGCAGGAAGTGAGATGAAGGGGCCGAAGCTTCACCACTAGGTGCACAGGCAGGCGTGGTGTTGCCTGCCTGTGGGCAGTGCAGTGTGGCAGCTGCAGTGGCTGGGCTGGCCAAGTGCGCCTGCCGACGCGGCAATCGCTCCACCTGCTGGCGGGCTGCCTGCGCCTGCTGGCGCTCCAGCTGGAGCTGCATCTGCAACTGTTGAATTTGCGATGTCGTGCTTGGTGCTGCCAAAGTGGCTGTGCGTCGCACACCTGATGAGAGCTGCGACAGAAGCTCTGCAAAGAAAAGGGAAATGAAAGAGCTAGCTCAAGACCAGCATACCCACAAAGGTAGTACTCTACACACTGCTTAGTACACAATACCTAGGGTCTCTATAGGGCACCTTTATTAGACAACAGAGATTGTTAATAGAAATTGTATAACAGTTAGGCCCGTCATTTTCCCACAAGAACTCTATGTTGAGTCAGAAGTGCTTTTACACAGCTAAAATGACGTTAATGCGACTGAACAAGAAATTTCATTCATTAACTTCTTAATAACCGACTTCAGTGCAGTTTGCATTGTAGAAAGTTGCAGTGCATGATGATTTATGGCAAACCTAGTTTTTCTTTTTTAAATCACGAAAGTTGCACGTAGTTCGACATAAATTTTATCAAATTTCCAGCATGAAATCAAACCTGATTACGCCCAGCACACACGAAGTGCGACCATTCGGGTACAATCGCCTGAACTACCAGTGACAGGGAAGTTACAAAGTTTGATTCAAGGTGCGTCGAAGCAGATTCTCATCAGAAAAATCAACAGGCATTCTTAAATACATAAGTAAACAGTTTATTGCTTGCATCCATAGCATGCATAGGTTGGTGAACTCACTCATCAGTACATTCACTCGGACTCACTGAGACTGAAATCTAGGGGCGAGTCTGAGCGAGTCCGGATGTGTAAACATTTGGCGAGTCCAAGTAAGTCCGGTTGAAGAAAATTTGTGAGTCTGAATCCGAGAGACTCAAAAGCACAAAATATATTTTTTGAGTGAGTCTCAGTCAGTTCGACTTTATTTCGCCAACCTAAAGACCTATCTAGTCATCTTCAGCTTTACTATCAGCCTTACCTGGATTCTTGTTTATACTCGCGTCCACTCACAGGTATTCAAAGCAGTGTCGTTCATACAACGTTTCAATATTTATTAGTTAGAGGTGTGAATTACGTAGGGGGGTGTCTATCTCCGCCCACCAACTCTTCCAGGGCATTTCTTGATTATTAAGTCTTATGCTGTCATCTCTTCCAAGAAAAATGACCTTACAGGTTTGGAAGCACTCAAAACTCATTTTCAAAGATTCTGTGCCAAATGGCACCCTGAGAAGCGCAATAACATGAGGTATTGGTGTTAAAAAGCATTGACACCACGGTCAAAGAAGCTAATGCTAGGTTGACGGACTCATGAGTCGACTCACTCGGACTCACTCAGACTCGGATCAAACTGTGGGTCTGAGCGAGACCGAGTGAGTAATGTCTTGGCGAGTTTGAGTCCAAGTGAGTCCGGCTGAAGAAAATTTTTGCGAGCGTGAGTCCGAGTGAGTCCAAAGCTCAAAATATATTTCATGAGTGAGTCTGGGTGAGCTCCACAAGTTTTGTTACCCTATGCTCGCATGCGATAAAGATTCACAATAAAACTATTTCACCTGTCTGCAAGAACAAGTGCCATAATGGCTGACCCTGGCTTTTATGCTTCCTCAGACAGAGAAAAGGTTGCTATAGCAGTTTTCTTGTGCACAGCTCAAAAGAAACAGACAAGCGCCAAACACTACACACAAAAGTAAGGCAGTGCACCACTGGCACTAGTGAAATGTTTTATAGTTTTTCATGAAAATGTACAGCTGTGGTGCACCTTCATTCAAATGTAGTCACTTCCTGGTCACGAATAGTTCCAGTCTGACGGAACAGAATGGTCCCACTTCATGCCCGCCCAATGCCATCAGTTTTGATATCTCTCTTGAAATTTGACAATTTTTCAGACTACTTCATACAACTTTCGTAATTTCGGAAAACTGGGTATACCACAAATTATGGTGCAATACAACTTTCTTATATGAACAACTGCACTGTAGTCAATAACTAAGAAGTTAACCAGTTTTGTTAATTAGGCAGTTAAGATCATTTTAGCTGCGTAAATGTATTTCTGCCTCAACATGGAGCTTATGTACAAAAACGACAGGAGTCAACTGAAATCTGTATCACCTATTAAAATTTCTGTCGACAGCATTGTTATTCTTGTGAATAATCATGTGTTATCTAATTCTTGTTGTGTCGATGGGATTAACCCCAAAGTACTAACGAAGATCATCACTACATCTACCAAAATACTACAATATCCCATCTTCAGACTGTCACCAACTTTCGGACAGCTCTCGTTTGATTGAAGTTCCATATTCAAAAGCGGCAACAGACATTCACCAAATAGCAGTGTTGGCAGTACCGCGTTACTTTTTTCGGTAACTTAGTAACATACTCATTACAATTTCGGAAATGTAACGAGTAACGTACTTCCGTTAAAATTTTTCGATAACTTGAAGTGCCACGTTACTCGTTACTTTTTCATTCTGTAGGTGCCACATTCCCAAAACTCGCCCCGATGAATTCCTTTGTTGGAGCACCGGACCGCTGTCACCCACCAGACATTGACAAAGGAAGCGTGGACAAAATTCAGTTTGAGGAATTTGGGGGGGGGGGGGGGGGGGGAGGGTCGTAAGACGGTATAGCGCACTGTGGCTCGTCTTGGAAAGGCTGGCTATCCTGAGACATTGCTGGTTACTGTGGCTGAAAGCATCTACAGAGCTCAGGGGCATGTACGATGTGCTGCAGATAATGGCGTACAGGAAAGCATGGGAGGACGCAAAAAAGTCGCAATCATTTCTTACAAACATCAGCTTTGTCCACACAGGTTGAAAAAGATCGGCCAGCAAGTTGGTGTCCATGTGGTTCTTTCAGCCTCACACAAGTTAGCCTCGCTCTCACAGAGGAGCAGTCCGGTTACGAGATGCAAAGTTGAATGCCAGGTAATGCATCATAGTCAGTTTCTGGAATGTGTGCGGGGGCCAGTCTACAGAGTCGCTTAGTTGTGTGGAGCCTGCCACATTGGCTAGACAGGCAGGCATCTCAATGACCATCTCCGAGAACACACGACAATAACATTTGGAACAAGACCAACGGCTTTGTGGCTATTCATTGTGATCGCTCCGGCTGCCACCCTGCGCTCAACAGTACCACAATCCTGTACCGGCACAGAGATGAAAGAACTCACGTCATGGACTCATTGTATACAAGCTGCCCTCATGAAACGTGAGGGTGGGCTCTGCATGAGCAAGCCCTCAGCGTCACTAGAGAGTTTTATCTATGGGTACGCAAGCCTGCGAACCCAATAGGTTGGGGCGGCATTACTGCGCATGCGCGATGCCCCAAGCACCCCAAAGCGAGCTGTCGAGACTTTCTCGGCTTGCGGACAACGAAACTGCACACAGCGACCTGCCTGTGCTCCAGCTCGACGGAGAAGGACTTCTTTAGTAGTGGTTGTACGATGTTATCACCAACTGACGAAGAACTGTCTGGGTACCTTTTAGCACCCCGGGACTTCGCGCTGAGTGGACTCGAGGAAAACTTTCCACGCATTCATCAGCTCATCCTAAAAGTGAACAGAGGAGTTCCATCCAGAGCGTTCGTCGAGCGGCTATTCAGTGTAGGTGCAGATGTATTCACTAAGAAGCGAGGCAAGCTGTCCGATAACAACATTGAAGAGCAGCTGTGGCTTAATTTCGACGTCAAGTTGTAGTTATTGGAAAGTTGTACTGGAAATGCTATGTGTCTAATCAACTTTGTTTTGAAAATAAATTTTACTTCTTTCTCTCTGTAAATGGAGCTACATTTCTAATAAAAAGCTCTTGAGCAAAGAAGGCTCATATTGAACACTTTCACATAAACGCTCCCAATTTTTGCGGTAAGTAAACCGGTTCAACTGAACAAGAGATGTTTATGCACAAATATATTCCCAGGCGACTAGGTCAGTAAAACAATTCTTTATTAGTACAAATTTTGCGCTTTTATTTTGCCATAGAAGCACGCTGAAAGGATTGCCATAAATTTGTTGGAGTCAAGTGATGCCTCCTTAGTGGAAAGCGTTTACCCTTACGAGAACAGATAACTGGGCTAGTTTGTGGGAATTCATGTAAAGGCGTTGATGATTAAATCTCGTGTTGTGTATGATGTGACGTTGAAACACCTAGAGTCCGAAGCCATCGCATGCAACTATAGAGGCAACTAACTACAAGCTCTATGACATTGCTAAGGTTCAGTGCATCTGTACAAACAATTCTAGTTAAATCAACATTTTGGGTAAAATCGTCGTTTGGCTTAGAAGTTTTGAGCAAAAAATAAGTGAGAGCTTTACGATATTCTTACTGAGGGTTCCTGCAGCAAAAACAAAATGGTTATTATTTATTATTGCTGAGTAACGACACTGGGAACGTTCGTTACTTTTTTTCAGTAACTGGAGTGGTAACGCATTACATTTTTTTGTTGGTAACGTAGGGCAGTAATGCGTTCCTTTTTTTGTTGGTGTAACGAACAACATATTTATTACTTTTGTTTGCTAACAGATACAACACTGCCAAATAACTACAGACCTATCTTTCTGACCTGTATTTGTTGTAAAATGCTCGAGCACATCATTGCATCTGTGAAGAAGAAAACGCATCGTTGGCAAGCAACATCACCACAGCTTGGGTACTGAGTCCTGGGCTTCGCTCGCTCGCCTCGTGCTGATCGTCGCCGGCATCTGCTTGACCGTTGCACTGTCCCGTTCGTGTTTTTGTCGTAGGGCCACCGTCGCAATACACGCCAATAAACCCCTTTTCAAATGGTGGAGGGTGCTGACATTCCCCGTCGCTTGAACCTGAGTGCTGCCATTCCCCGTCGCCTAAACCTGGAGCTGCACAACCGAACGCTATCCTCCCATTATGGCCACCAACAATGCGCAACCTAGCTCTTCCACTCCATCCTCCAGCAACCCCAGCGTTCTTTGCTTGCGAGAGCCGAAGGTCTTTAGCGGAGCTGATGAGACCGACGTGGAAGACTGGTTCACCAACTACGAACTGGTGAGCGCAAACAACAAGTGGGATGACGCGGACAAGTTGACTAACGTCATCTTTTACCTTGCTGACGTGGCCGAAATGTGGTATAACAATAAAACAACCACAAAAACAACATTACGACGTGGTCCATC